TATATTGAATCGCATTTCTTCTTTTTTTCTAAGTAAATCAAGCTGTGGTTTTTCTTCCAACTTATTTTATCTTAACGTTCTAGCCTTTATTATCTTGAGTGATCCCCTAAAAATTACAACCCGACACCTATGCCACACTAAAGCTTTCATCTTCGAGAACTCCGCTTCAAAAATATGCCAATTAACATTTAAGAAAAAATTATTTTACTTGAATTCTGGAATTTTCTTTTTTGTCAAAATTTCTAGATTTATGTGTCTGTTGTTTTTCAGTTGGTCATTCACAGGACAGTAACCTGCTTGAACTACCAATATTCCTCGGGATTTGTCTCAGCTGTTTATCTTGTCACTAAAGCTCTTTACCTTATCAATGTGGTACTGCAGTTATGGCTGATGAATAGGTCAGTCACTTTATCTGAATGTCCCTCTTAGATTGTTTCTTATTTGTTTTTGTTTTTTTAGTTTTCTCGGTACCAACAAGCACCAGTGGTATGGACTTGGTGTTATAAAGGACATTATAAATGGCGTTGAGTGGGAGACAAGTGGCTATTTCCCGCGCTCTGCTATTTGTGATTTCGAGGTATTGTTATTCGCTACATCTTCACAAAGGAGTATGAATATTGGATAGAATTTAGGTTCGACAAGTAGCCAACATTCAAAAGTACTCAGTACAATGTGTTCTTGTCATAAACATATTCAACGAGAAGATCTTTGTGATTTTATGGTTCTGGTGCGTTCAACAGACAAAGACTTTCTGTTTTTCATACTTGTTTGTTATAGGTACCTAATACTATTTCTTTCCGCTGCTATGACATTTGTCACGTGGTTCTTTCTCCTAATATGTCCTTGCTTCTCCAGATGGTTCGTCGAACATCATCTTGAGCTCGGCAGCCTTGACTTATACGAGCCGCGTAAGGACGAAAATTACAGAGAAAAGCGGGAAAACCTCATATTAAAATCAGTCCATTCTAGAGTCTCAAGCTAACGTGAAAAAATTCGTATACGAGTATCTCCATCGTGACGGAGTTTTCGTGCTACGAATGGTTTCTTCTCATGCGGGCGTAATTTTCGGTACAGACCTCATCGTAGAACTTTGGAGAACGTTCTACGGGCTTGAGAAGAAGGTGAGCCAACATTATCGTTTTTTTCTTATTACATTTAACAGGAAATTACTGCTACTTTTTGGAAAAAAAATGGAAAAGACGATTTAACACCTAAAACAACCGCATCCAAGTTCTTACCCTGTTTGCTTGTCTTTACTTAGTAGAAATTATCAACAAGTCATTCTGATTTCTGATTCAACCCAAAAATGCTTTCTATTTTGTTTTATTAACAAAGAAGCTATGAAAACTTCAATAATACAAGTATCAAATGTCTGAAATGTCCCATTCTTACCAGAAGCTAGCCATTACAAAAAAATAGGTCAAAAAGCCACATTTTTCACCTGTCACGGTCTGTCACTAAAACTTTTCAAAATTCCTATGACACCGTAGAAAATGGCTG